ATTTTTTTTTTTTTTCAACGTTTATTTATTTTTGGGACAGAGAGAGACACAGCATGAACGGGGGAGGGGCAGAGAGAGAGGGAGACACAGAATCGGAAACAGGCTCCAGGCTCTGAGCCATCAGCCCAGAGCCCGACGCGGGGCTCGAACTCACGGACCGCGAGATCGTGACCTGGCTGAAGTCGGACGCTTAACCGACTGCGCCACCCAGGCGCCCCTAAATGGAATTCTTTAAACAGCCCAGTATGAGCCTCGTAGGCATTCATCACTCTCCGGTTCACTCATCAGTAGGGCCGGCAGTGGTCAAGTACCCCCACTGTTCCCTGTGGGGCGACGAGGCCCTGACCCTCCAAGACCCCGCTGGGACAAGAGGCCCCGGACGCAGAGGCGGATGCCGGGCCTCTTCCTCCCAGTGGCCGCGGCCACATCAGCTCAGCATGGCTGCGGAGGGTGACGGCTGTCGCCCTGATCTCGGTGAGGTGCGGACGGCGCGGACCAGGCTGCGGCGGCGGAAGGGGAGAAGCGAAGGGATGGTCCGAGGGAGGTTTAGCGGGGAACGTCGGCAGGTGAAGGGTCGCGTGTGGGCAGGGTGTGAACCCGGCTCCCCGACTCTTCTGTGGTCAGATGGCCGCGCCCCTGGCGAAGACACACAGGGCACTGCGAGTTGGAAAGAGGAGAATGAGCCGGTCCTGGGACGGATGCGGTGAGGCGAGGGGCCTCTGTGACATCCGAGTACAAAGTGCAGAAGTAGGTGTTCGGCCAGCAGGCTCCGAGCAGAAATCCAGCGGCAGGTGCCACCGCGGGGCTCTCCACAGAAGGCCTCCGTGGCCGAGACTGCAGGGGCTGGTCCGGCCGAGCGAGGAGAGGGCCTCTGACCCAGCCAGGGGTGCTGGGGATTCCATGGCCCGCAAAGGAGCGCCTTGAGGAAGGCCGGGAGAGCGATGGTCCACCCGAGGGCCCACCCAGGCATCTTCCCGACCCCCCAACTTTGTTGAGCCACTACTCCCGCTGCCCAAAGTTGCACGTTCTACCTGTTAATCGTTTTTTCTGCGACCTGGGACAGACTCCCATCCTGGGAGCTTCAAGGCAGAGAAGCGCGTTGAAGGGGCCACGTCTGAGTCCCTCTGGCCTCCTCGGACGGGGTCCGTCTAATCGCACAACTGGGGAGGCAGCTGTTTGGTGTAAACGAGCAAGAAACGTGTACTTATTACAAGGTAGAAACGGATTCCCGGTTCTTCCTACTGACACGGTGGTTTGCTCCCTTTGAACTTTATGGAAAATGTCAAACGTCCACAAAAGTAGTGAGAGCCTCCCACGGGGCTTCAAAAGTTACCGACATTCGGAGAATCTTGATTCCTCTGCGTCCCCTGCTTTTGGGGGCGGGGAGGACAGGAGTGTTTTCAGAGCAGGTCCAGGCCAGCAAATCATTCACCTGTGAATAACTTGAGGCTGCCACTTTGAGGAGAGCAGCTTATTTTCTGTAACCGCCGCAACACCATCACGGCTGACGAACTGAACAGTGATGGCTTGTGGTCCGGTACCCAGCCCGCGTTCAAATGTCTCAAGTTGTCAACCCAGCCACGTCTCTCTGCCAGGCACCGCCCGGGGCCACCATACAACCATACTAAGTACAGGACACACAGCCCGCCTCCAAGCCTGGGGGCGGGGCTCAAGCCCACACGGGCAGCTTAGCTCAGGACGCTTCTCCAGAACCCACTTCTGCCCCCCCCTCCCAGCTCGCAGCCCGTCCGCACCCTGCCCCTCCCACGCCCTGCCCCTGGTCCCCTGGGGAAACTCCCCTTCTGGGTCACCCAGCCTGGATCTTTCCCACCTCGGCTGGCAGGTGAGACCCAGACCGGCGGGACACAGGGAGCAAGCCGCTCGCTCAGAAATCTCGGCTCCCCTTGGAGGGAGGAGCCGGGTTCATGGGCAGCAGAGTTCCAGCCCCTCCACTCTCTCCCGGGCGTCTCAAGAAGAAGAGGACACAGGCTCCTGCCACCGTGGGGCCAGGAACCCGGGGTTGGCATACACACTTTCCTGCTATCTTTGGTCACATGAGCACCCCACACTCAGGAAACCTAAGGGAGGGGTGAGGTTGAGGGCTGGAGAACACAGAATTTGCCGGAGCTCATAATGTGGATGAGTTAGCAACAAATTTGGTTATTTGGGCTGAGAGCAAAGTAGGTGCTGGAGCAGCCATGAAATGAAGACTGAAAAAAGCAATCCTCAAGGCTAGATTTAAACCTAAAGCCCACCTCCCCTCCCCAGGCCGCCACTGGCTTCGGGTGCGCCACCTGGTGGAAGAAAAGAAAACAGCCGGCTTCTCAGCCTCCCGCTTGCCAGCCCAACCGGGTTCTGACCTCGTTCCACTGCGAGTGTGGAGGAGAAAGGAAAACGCTTCTATGACGACGAGGATTTCTACTCCTGGATGGAGCAGGTGATTCAACCGGCCCTCCTC